CAGTACAATCTCATTTTGAAATTTTTCGTCTGAAATTTCGAACAAACAAATTTGTTTATGTGGCCATCATTTTCGGTAAAACTCTTTTACATTGTATAGGTTTATATGGTAACTATTATATAAACCTATACTGGCTAAAATGGCTAAAATTTTTGTTTGGAACTAATTACTAAATTTCAACTATATCCTAAATTCAGGTATTTTGTACGATTTCCAAAATATAGGGAATTTTTCTAAAGTTCAAATGCTTGGTGTTCCTAAAGTACATAAAATACGTAATCAAGTAATTCAAACGCTTTCAAGCGTTTTTCTAGTCCTTTCGAGAACTGTTTGTATAAGTCTTCTATCTTTTTCAGATGGGAAGTTACAAACAAAAATAGATTTCTCGTGAAAATTCGTTAAAATACCTGTATACCTAATTGTTGAGATTTGACAACTAGTTCCAAATACTCTTTCCTATAAACTTGTATAAGTCATCAATATACAATTTAATTAAAATCATAATTCTTAATTACAGATACATTGTGCACTACACTTTACAACTTATTATAAGTGTTACATAACTTTCAAAAATTTAAGCTCTTATAAAACTTTTAATATTCTCAACTAAAGCCATATTCATATCATATAATAATTCACAATAGTTATAATACTATTGTGGATTATTGGTTGTTAAGAGTATAGTTAATTTTTTATAAAATTAATATTTAATAAGAAAAGTTGGAAATTTTTAAAATTCATTTGAAAAAAAATATATAATTTTGTTTTGCAAGGGGAATATTTATTATAAATATAAAGAAGATTTTAATATTGAAAAATTTAATTTTGCAAAAATTTTCAAAATCCTTCCTATAACTTTATAAGTTTGTAACTTCCAAAAATTGCAGAAAATTGTGATTAATTAAAAGTATGTAATAACTTTATGTTCCAAATAATATTTACAGTGCAAGTTATAAACGTGAAATTACGGTGTGTTTTGAGATATTTAATAAAAATTAATATCGAAAATTATTTTTGGTATGTGAGAAAATTGTAAGAAAATGGATCCAGTCCAGACGAACAAAAAATAATAGGAAACATTTTATTTATAATAAGAATGGCGTTTTTAGTTTACGAAATATTCAAGTGCAAAATCAAATTTTGAAATAATTTTCTTACAGGTTTTTCGTTGTTTGTTAAGTTGGGTTAGGTCTAGTTGGGATACACAAAATCCCCTGCTTTCACGAGAAACAGCCCGAACTTTTCAACTTCGCCAGATCCGTAGTATGTAAAAGGCATTGCGGCAGCCATTGACAATTGTCCGTTGTCATTTAGTTTTCTCACGAAAAGTGAAATTTTATATTCTAACTTGTATTTTCATATCGAATTCATGGTGAAGAATTAAGGATTTTATATATCATTTTAATAGCAACTATATTGCATATATTCTAGTATTGCATCGTCTTAAATTGTAATTACTATTTTTTGTTACGAATTTATAAAACAAAATTACGCCTTAAAGAAAATTCATTTTGGTGCTTATTGATATAGAGCTAGGTGAAACGATTTTATTCTAGTTAACTGTTTTAAGAAAATTTCCAGAAAATTCGGAAACTAGTGCGGTTTTAATAAGTTTCACTTTATAAGGCCGCTAAAATCTTGAAAATTTTGCAAAATCAAATTAGAAATCTATTGCTAGTCTAGAAGTACATTTTCCAACTCGTTTTCCTTCTCTAAAAGATATGGCGTATCGAAATCAAAAAAGGGACATTTTTCACTAAAAACCGTTAGAACGACAAACTTGACTGATGTTTTTCATTTTTGAATTGAGCTCATGTAATTAATTTTCAATATTACATAGTTAGTATGGCGAGTTACGGTTACCACGCCACAATTTCAGAATATTAGGAAAATTTCAATTTGCAGTTACTTATTTAAATTTTGTTCTCATCCTAAAAGTATGCATTATTAAAATATCATAATACATTGTTCTCATTTGTTTGTAGAGAATTTCTGAATGAAAGTAGAATAAGTAAAAACGACCGATTGAATTATACCCCGCACCTTTCGTTGTTGTATAGCAATTACTCAAACCTGTGAAACCATTCTATAGAAACTTAATGGATATGTTTGACCTATAATTGGACACACAACTGTTAAGTTTCATGAATCTGACTTTATTATTTTTCCAAATATTTAAAACTAACTTCTGAAGTTGTATGGTAGGTAGCCGAACATGTCAAGTAATTCCACTAAAACTTCAGAAATATATCTCACCTATAATTGAACACATGACTATCAAGTTTCATTAATCTGACTTTATTATTTTGCCGAATATAAAAAATTTGCTTTTGGAGTCGTATGGCAGGCACCCGAATCGGTACCTCTATCCCATTAAAATTTATTTTATAGTTATACCTTTATTAGTTTTTGAAATATTTAAAATAAACTCTTTGAGTTGTATGGCAGCTACCCGAACCCGTTGTCCGAAGTAGTCCAATTACAATAGGGTTCGTCCTTGGCACAAAAAAAAAAACAACTTGTAAAAGTTTGGTGTCAATTGCATGATTCGTTTTTGAGTTATCGTGTGATCGGACGGACGGACGGACGACAAGACGGACATGTCTAAATCAACGCAGAATTTTACGTTGAGCAAGAATATATATATATATGTCCATACCGTAGATGACTCTTTCAAGTAGCTACAAAATCCTTCACGAAGTGCAGGGTATAAAAATTGTGTTTCTTTTTTCATATTGCTATGTGAAAATATGTCGACAACTAGTTAAAAATTTTCATCCCAATATCCATTTTATGATCCTAACATTCATCACAATTGGCAATTATATTTTCTAATTGAACTTGCTTGCTATAATATACATATGTATGCAGGTCAATTTTTCCTGAGACATATGTCAATTGTGTATTGTCATTTCTAATTGTGAATCACAAATTCATTTAAAATAACTTTGAAATCATAAATGTCTTGTAGATTGAATTTCATTTTGCTGTCTAGTCTATTGTAATTTCATAGAATTAAAGGATATTACCCGATCTTATCGTAAAATGATGAAATAAGTACATATACATTGTGTATTTGAAGTTCAAAAAACTAAAAATATTTAGGATCCAATGACATTTTTATTTTGCCAAACGAGTTTTCAAATATACCTGAAATTACTAGAAAAAATTTTAAAAATTGTCATAAACTATTGAAATTTCATTACCCTGTTTTATTTTAATTTTTAAAAAATTACTTGATGAGTTCAAATTATTCCAGTTCTTTGGCAACAAAATTAAGTTTTCTTTGTTAGTTCTTTTGTTCCAAGGAAATTAATTAAAATTTTCCTTTATTTACCTTTTAAAAATTAGATAAAAAAATGGGGAAAAATTGAATTGCATTTTTATTGTTGTTGTTTTTTTTTGTTTAAACTTATAGCGTAGTAATTATTTACTGGAAGGGTTATTTCTAAGTATAAAAATCCTGTTTTTTCGTAACAAAGGAGGAATTAAAGTATTCTATTTCAAAAATCAAACATCTTTGTTTTTGTTGGACAGTTTTAACTTTTGTTTGTGTGGTTATATGCTCTATGATAAGAAAAATATTCAAATCTTCTTTTAAAAGAAAATCAAAGAGAAAATCACGCAGAAAAGATAAAGGTAGATAAAAAAAGTATAAAGGAATTATAAAAAAGGAAAATGGAAATTAACACTTTTCGACCTTAAATTTTCCCTTTTTTAATTCACTTTTTTCCCGTTTCATAATTAGAATTTTCTTTTGAAGATTTTTGAAAATAAAAGTGATGAGAACAATTAATTTTCCAAGGGTTTGCAAATTTTTTTTTTGTGTTTGGTCACAAAAGAAAATTATTGTTGTATTGAAATTTACAAATCTCCCCAGTTTTCTATTAAAGTGTAAATTATTATTCTATATTACATAATGTTTTATTAATTATATTTAATTTTTAAGATAACAACGAGGAGTCTCAGGATTCAGAACATTATATTTGTAGTTGAAAGAAATTCTTTCAAAATTCAACTATAGTGACTAGAATATACATTGAGTAAAACAAAACTATAATATAGTTTCAACATAATTCTTTAAATATTTTATAAAAAAATATGCTTAATAGCCTTACTGCACCTCAACGTCTGTCTATACGTTTGCAAGACATCTAAACTGTTCGAAAAATTGAAAGCTATGAATTGATTTAGATGAAAATGTTATTCCTTCAGCATCATTAGTAAATCAGTGACGAAATCTGCCTTTTTAGATATCAATAAATTTTAAAGTATGGGAGCTATTAAATTGAAATTTTATATTTTCAATGTGTCTGCTGTAAAATGATATCACATCTGAGGAATTTCGTTCAATTGGAATTATTCAATCCCAAGTTATAAGAGTTTAAAAAACGAAGCCTTTCGAAAAAAGGTAGGTAGTGCCTTATTGATAATATTAAAATCAATATTTTAAGCAATTAGATCTTTCGTAATTAATTGACGTTGAATATACGAAAAAAATTAATTTCTTTTAATAAATAACAAATGCGAGAATGATGCACATGTAGACCTGGACTATATAACTGGCTAGAGTCATGGGTATTTGAAGCTTTTCAAATATTTCTAATTCTCTTTTTTTATTTGTATATGGTTTCAAACTGTTTCTTAGTCAATAAGTGGACGAACAGCTAACTAAGAGCTTAATTCTGTCTACTAAATTTAGTACAAGGAAAAATTCAAACATGCTATTTCGAAAATTAAAAAAATACAATTTTTTTCGCATTTTAATTAAATAAATAAATATTTTATTAAATAAATTAATTTTTTTCTATAAGTAAGTTTGTTGGAATTTTCATAGATTATCTGCATACATAAAATATAAAATCTTTGGAAATTTGAAAAGCAAATAAATAAATTCTCAATTGATGTGATTGCCAGTCTCCTGTGTCATTTTTTACCTCCTCTATTTTGAAATTCCTTTCTGTTTTTCTTCTGTTCTCTTCCTTAAATTTTATTTTCAATTAATTTGGAATTTGTCCTTTGTACGCAATTTCTTGAGCATCCTGCGGTTGCCCATTGTCTGATGATCTAGCCCAACCATGAGGTGCATCAATATGATCATGATGATCGATATGATGATGATCAATATGATGATGATCGATGTGATGTGGTACAACATGCTCATGTGGAACAATATGTTCAATATGATGTGGCACATGATCTATATGATGATCTATATGATGTGGAACAATATGTTCAATATGATGTGGTACAATATGATCGATATGATGATGTGGTACAATATGATCGATATGATGATGTGGTACAATATGATCTACATGATGTGGAACAATATGATCGATATGGTGGTGTGGTACAATATGATCAACATGATGTTCAACGTGATGATGATGTGGATAGTGTACAACTTCGTAATGTGCGAACTGAATTTGAAACAAAATGTTAAAAAACAAAATTAACTATATAATATATATATATATAAATATATACAAAATTTAAATTACCTTTGGTTTTGCAACCTTAAATATTAGAATAGCACCAGATAAGACTAATGATAATAAACCTAATGTCATAGCTTTCCATGTTTTTAATGCAATTAAAGATAAGGCAAGTGGAACTAAAACTGTCGATTTAAATTTTAAACCTAATAAGAATGGCAACATAATTCTTTTGACAAAACCTCGACCTAAAATTATATTTTCATAATAAAAAAAAATTTTAAATTATTTTAATATAATTTTTGCAATACCTTCTACAGCATTTCCATCGGTTAATGGAATTTCAACACCTTGTGTTAAACCTCCTTCTAAATATGAATTTGGAATAAATGATCTTGCTTCAGATGATTTTAAAAATTCAGGTGCATTAATTTTTAATGAATGTGTTGCTAGAAAACTATCAATTTTATCAAATAATTCAAGTCTAGCATCTCGTTTTCCAGATCTTTGTTGTTGTTTATCAAAATCAAAACCATTATCTTCGCCCGTTCTAACAATTGTTAATTCATTTGTTATTTTGATTTCATCTTGTTGTACAGCTTTACTTAACCAACTTAAAGCTTTCGGTTTAATACAATTTACTTTAAAATCTTTCAAACATGATGAATAAATTTCCAATGCTAAATCAATAGCAGATTTTTCTGTTGAACAATTTTCTATTAAAATGATTGTTACTATTAAACCAAAAATAAAAGGCTTCATGATCCTTTTAGAAAACGGATGTAATTGGGAAAAAAAAAATTATACCAATTCTTTTTTAAATTTTAAATCGTAAAATATCGTAAAAAATTTTATTTTAGTTTTTATCAACAATGTTAGGCGGCTACTACTAAATTAATAATGCCACTATAATTTCAATTGGTGCAGGTTTTTATATGGAACTTAAATTTGTAATCATATTTCAGACAATTTCGTTTATGGTATCGTGTATATATAGTATGTATGTACTTATGTAAAATTTCCCCTAAATGAATGAAAACTTGCTTTATTTAATGAATTGAACGTTTATATTAACATGTAGCGTTGTACCTCTCTTCTTTAAAAATAAATCAATTGTTATTTTTATTTCATTATTATTAAAAAAAAAACAAAGAAAAATGCGAATCAAATCACTTTCAAAAACGTTTAATTGCATCAGTCCGAAGAAAATATTTTAAATGCAAATATACACTCATACACACACACGCACACATATGTCTGTTAAATAAGGTACGTGAGTTTGTTTTTTTTTGCTTTTTGGTGAAATGCCGGGTTTAAATTTGCATTTGTATAATAATTTAATTTTTGTATAACAGGTGGAATTCAAGTTAAGAATCAATAGTATTTACTTCATTTTTCATTATTTTTGGTTTTAATGGCATTTGTTCAAGGAGGTGGGAGATTAAATCTATTTATAAATATTATGTACATATATATATATATATATATATATATAAATATATTTTAATTTAAACAAACTACCGCAGGTTGTCAATGCATATAGAATTTTAAATAGAAAAATTACAAAATGTCCAATATTTTGGTTGGTCATAAATGAAAAGAAAAAATTTCTTTAAATTAGCTTTTATGTTGTGATGAAAAGTGCCAAATCTGCTATGTTGTATTAAAAACATGAATTTTATTATTGATTGAATACTAAAATATTGTAGTATCAAAAGTTTTCAATTCCCTGCGTAAATATTGTTTTTTGATAAAAATTCAAGGTATATTTAAAATGAATTTTAATAGGAGAAAATATTTTGATTTCAATTAAAAGAAATTCGAATAAAAATACCAAATTGTTAAGTAAACAACGTGCAGAAAATATAATCAGCAGGTATTTAAAAAAAAATTTTTTAAATTTTTCAGATTTAAAATCAAAAATTACCTTCATTCGGTAAGTTGCTTATACTCGTACTTTATTTAATCAGCTCAAAAAGTATTATATTAATTTTTATTATATAAAATTATATAACAATAGTATTATTAGTAATAAAGTAAATTCTGAAAATTTTTACATCATGTATATTCAAAAAATTATGAATTTCTTTATTATTTAAAATAAAGAGATGCACAGAATTCCGCGTAAACAATTCTGAATTTTACATTAATACACACACCTTTAAAGATATAAGCTTTCATTAGAATTTTAATTATTATAAAAATTAATGAAAAAATTAATGAAAATTCATTGTTCTATTATTCTGCTGCTTTACACTGTTCGATGTATATTGAAACCATTGTTCACTTTAATTTAAAACCATTTTTTTACCAAGCTTCTTGTATTTCTCTTGTTCTCTCTTCTTCTCCATTTATTTATTGCTAGTATTTAAATTTATTATATTTATTTCGAACAAAATGAAACTTAAATAATGACAGGGTAATTAAAAAAACTCAATTTTTCAAATTAAATATTCATTTTGATTAAATGTAAGAAGCGCGCCAATAATATTTTGCTGTAAATATTAATATAGTTCTTAAAAAATGTTAAAATACTCATATTCATTAAAATGTTTGAAATATTTGTAGAAGAGTAATTAGTCTGATTCCTGAGAGCAAATAAATTTGGTTTAATGCAACTTTTTTTTCTAAAAAGAATTTTTAGCATTTAAATCCTTTGCAGTATTTGCTCAATGTCGTAAATAGGCCTATTACATATATCTAGGAGAAGATAAACAGCATAAAATGGAATTAGCAGTGAATCAGGATATTCTAAAATATGTATATTTTGCGGTGAAAAAACGGTATACATTTTGATTGATACCTTTGAAATATTGATTGAACTTGAAGTTTTAAATAAATTAGTCGCTTGATTAGCTTGAAAATTTTTGACTTTAAAAATATTTTTATTCAAAGCTTGAGTTTAGTTGTCTTTAAAATTGCAGCTTTATAATTTGAGAATATAAGCAAACGTTAGAACATATTCATTGGGGCCCGAGCAGTAGTTTTAATTTTGTGTAAAAATGTGTTATGAATAAAATTACTGATGTTTAGACAATAAAATTATAATTTGAATCATAATACATACAGCTTCAAAATTGTCAAAATTAGCGTTAGAGCCATAAAACGCCTTTTTAGGGTTCATTAATTATTCGATATTGTTAAAATCAATAATTATTATAATTGGAATGAAATGAATTTGTTATAAACTTGCAAATAATTGTGGAGTAAAAATTTTTGTATTTCATGTCCGATTTGAAATAGTTTTTGGTGTATTACTTATACATTAATTAGAAATTTCAAATTAATCTGCTTATACTCGTAATTAAAACACTTGTGAACAATGAATATGTTTTGAAACAACCTGTAATTTGTCTGATGTTAAAGTAGTAGAATGCACATTGTACTTTTACATTAAATTTAAAATCAATAATAATTGCAAAATTCTCGGAAAGATTTCATTTAATACTATTTAATTTAAGTTGCAAGGTGGGCTATAAATTTCAATTATAATATTCTGAATTAAAAATAAAAATTAAAATTACAAATTTTTGTTTTTTAACGAAATTTATTGAATCCTTTTTTTTCACATTTATACATAGATATTTGAATATAATTTTTGTAATTAAATCACCTTTGACCAATTTTCGTTTTAATTTACAATTAATTAAATTTAATATGATTCAAAATGATTTTTGTTTTATTTCAAAAATTCAAAAAAAAATAAACATTAATAAATACTTAAAATATAAAAAAATAATAAATTAACAATTCAATAAATAAATATTTATAATAAATAAATTAATTATATATGTAGATTTAAGATATAAATTAACAATACATATTAAAATAAATAACAAATAAATAATTCTTACAATTACAATTAATTAACAATCTCTTACAAATTGTTCTATTAACATTACCGATTCGAAATTTTAGTATATTAGGTTAAATTAAGGTTTCCTCAAATTAATATTTTGCAACTATATCTGAAGGCACTCAGTTTAATTCTAAAAATTTTTTAATTAAAATTGTTTTTATAGTGGACAATGAGTGTCTCAAACGATAGTATACTCGTATAAGTTATAATGTGGCTGAGTTTTTTTAAGTTGGTTTTAAAATTATTCTGAATAAATTTTTTATATAGAAAATCATATTTCATGGGATATGACTAAAAAATTAAAGAAAGTTTTAAGAATAGGTCGGTTGTTAGCTGAATTTGGGATTTTTTAAATTTCAGTAATTTAATTCGATTATACTCAAATAAATTGAATGATTTATTAAGGTTCGTTTGAGATTTATGTTCGGAGCTCTAAAATACCCATTTTTCAATTTAATGATGCTGATAAAATATGCGAAAAAAACAAAAAAAATACTTAAATGCAGGAATTACGATTGCTTTAGTGAAAAGGTAAAGTTAATGTTGTCAATTAAATTTGATAATTTAGATTCTAGAAGTCTCCAAAAGACATTAATATGCCTGCAATTTCATTATTTATTAGCTGTGTTGTTGAAACTTACATATCAAACATACTTTTAGGAGTCCAATGTATGCGATTAACTTTTATGTTTTTCTGATTTTCTTAGAAATTGATTCCAAAAACCTCATATATTTTAAGATTACAATTATAAGAAATAAATTTTTAATGTTTGGAATTCGCCGTTTTAGCTAAACAAATTACATCTGGACCCATATTAAATTATTTAAAAATTATTTAAATTATTTTAAAAATTTCTTGAAAAGAACCAAGTTTATCTATCTTTCTTTAAAATAAATTTGGAAAAAATTTTATATTAAAAAATTTTCTTTTATGCTCATTTGAGAATTTTGAAATTTTTAGAAATCTAAATTAGAATTCTTTGTTATTTTTAATATCACTTCGAATTGGATTTATTTAAATAATGGTGTATCAAATTGGAATAGTGCTATTTAAATTCTTATTTACAATAATTTTTGGATATTAAAGTTTTGTATTAGAATAAAAAAATTTTTCATAAATATTTTTCTAAGAAATTCATTTTTACAAAATTAATAGGGCAATAACCTTTTATTTGTAAAATATTATTCTTATATATACATATGTATGTAATTTCAAGGAAATTTAAAAAAAAAATTAAAATTACAAAAATATTTATTTAAATGTTAATTACTCTTTCAAAATAACAATTATAAAGGGTGATTAAGAAAGCTATGCAAAAATATGTACAATTGGTTAGAGAATCAAAAATGAGTAAAACTTTAATTCCATAGGGTGGGTGCTAATTCTTGACAGTTTCTGAAATAAGAGATAATAGAATAATAGAATGAAATGCCCGTTATTTAGGATTTATTTTAAGTGGTTAATCTTTAAAAAATCTTTTATGGTCCAACAGGCATAGCAAAAAAAACCCATTTGAATTGCAAGATTTTAAGAACTTTAATAAAAAATATACAATTTTCGCTGTTTTCACTACTTTATTAATTTTTAGTAAGTGATGTAATTATTACTGATTTGCGATTAAAATAGATGGTGCAAAAAGAAATAATTCCCGTTTTCGAAATTTGTAATTATTTGATTAATATTTGCTGTTGGATGTATTTCTACAAATATTTTTCAAGACGTCATAACATTCAAATTTTAAACAAAAATTTATTTCATTCTATTTATTTCCAATATTTTTCTATAAATAAAAATTTTTGGGGGTGATGCGGGCAACTACAATTTGTTTGAAGCTTCTATCTTTGAAACACAAGTTATTAGCAAAAAACCGTAGACAAATAGAACTTTCCGGATTTATTTTAGAAATTTCCTATCCTGTATTTCGGAAATTCCTAATTTTTGATGTTCTGATAATCTAATTGATGGTAATATAATATTATTGCATACCATTCTGAATCACACAGTATAAATGCTTATAATTAAAACAAATTATAACAATTATAAATTATTATTTACATAGGCAACAATTTACCAGTTAAATTAAATAAAAAAATAAAAGAAATAATAATAATTTTGTATAATATTAATTATTAATAATATTTAAATATATTATGAATAAATTTACGTTCTTTATCATTAATATTTACATAATTTTTCATTTGTTTTTTTTTATTTAACTTTTTGATATAAAAAAAAATTGACTTTCTCTGTTTCTTAATTTAACTTTAATTTTATTATATAAGCTTAATATTCAATTGAAAATGAATGAAAAAATTCTTCATTTTTGTTTTATTATTCATTTTTTTCTTTTTGTAATTATTCTGTATTAATAGAGCATTGCGGATGTAAACGTAAACAATCACGTTGTTCTTGGCCATCTCGTGCTGCTTGAATTAAACGATAAAATCTTAATACTGATTGATTCATTTCAGTTGGTTTCTCAAGTTCTGATGGATCTCTAAAATATGAATAAATAAATTAGTATTAGAAATTTATAATTAATAATAATGAAATATTTATTAATAGAATAATTTTAATAATGGTATTTAATTATGCACATAAACTCAGTAAAAAAATATAGAGCTATTATTGAATTTGTTTAAAATTATGAGACATGTATAGCTATTTATAATTTTTTTTCTATTGTACTTCGCTCCTAGGAGGGCTGGTGCATGATTATTGTGAATAAATACAAGTTTCTGACGTCATTGAGTTTACTAGGTAGATGACGATCCTACCGTAATCTATTTATAATAATTTGTACAAAAATTCGTAATTTATTATAGAAAGTTTCAATTAAAGTTCGTAGAAATTGTGATAGACCATGCAAATTTTTACTGGCTGGATTGCATACCACAAGGGGAGATTATCTGATTGCACTAAATTTGTCATACCAACTTTTCAGCAGAAATGTGTTTCCTCGTGCTAGGGAAGTGTTAATAAACAATTTAGATGATAGTTGGTTTGTCTATCTGTCTGTCTGCCTGCCAATCTATATGTGCAGGTCAGTATTTCAAGTTATACACGGATTTTCACGAATATTTGCATAATTGCATCTAAGCTTATTTTGAAGATGAGCCGGTTTGATTAACTTTTGTTACATGTAGGGTTTCAGGAACTGGATCTTTGCTACAGGCAATTTTTAGGTTTTTAACTATATTTAAGAAAATAATCGATATATCATATAACTTTTTGAGGAAATCAGGTGTCAACAAGTGGAATTTTACTACGGGCGGCCAAATTTATATATTTGCTCATATAGAGAGAAATAATTAACCGATTTACTTGAAATTTCTCATTTAAAGTCTAAATATTAAAACAATGACTCAGTAAATTTGTTGAATAAATAAATGTTTAGGCGAAATTAATTAATAATTTTATGTAACATTTTAATAATGCGATCGGTTATGTGCTGGTCACATTTGACTTTTTTTAATTGTTGTATCTTATTTTCAATACCTAATTTTTGACATTTGCAGATATTTTCAATAATGGATAATATGACGTAATCGTTATTTATGTATATTTTTTGCAAAATATAAAATAAATTATTTTAACATTTGATCATAGATTTGAGGATTACAAAAGCCATTATCAAGCGTATTGAGTGCACCCAGAAGAATATTGTGATAGAATTTCACATATTGTGTTTGTAAGAGGAATACATTTCGAAACCTTAGACAGATCTAACATGCTCCTAACATGCTAACATGGTTTCAAATAAATCTATGTTTCATGACTCATATAAAAGTTAATCAACTTTTGGGGACATATAGGATTTCATAGGCATTAGGCTTCTATAATAATAGACATTTTTTGATCTTTTGACTTATTTAAAGTAATAACATATTTCTTTCAAATTATATAATTGAGCACTATCCTTCTGCATATAATTAGCTCTTCGAGTAATATCGATTTTATTAAGTATAATTAACGGTTTACCAATTTTCTACACAAATTATACGGTAACGGTATATACAGAAAATTTAAAGAAATTTTTGGATTTAATGTTAAACACAATTTTCTTTAGTATCATCATCATTTTGAATTAAACATTGTTCTTTATTAACCTTACTGTTCTAATTTTATTTTTCTTAATATAAGCGACGAGGAAAAAAGTAATTTCTCTTATAGAAAAAAGGGAAAACAATTATATTATCCAAATGGATGTTGTTCTTATAATTATAAAGGTGATTAAGAAATTCTATGGATTTAAGAAGGTCTTTAGTACATATACACTTTCTTCTTAATTCAAAAAGTCAAAATATTATTCTAATTTTGAGACATTTTCAAAGTACATTAAAAGTATATAAACACTTTATAAGTACGAGTACAATGGCACAATAAAAATTAAGAAAATATGATGTGGTCAGCACCTAACGAATTACATTCTGTGTGTTCTGAATAATATCTGCAATTCTTACGTGTTTTAACGAACTGGTAACATCCCAGCCAATTATGCAAATCTCCACATGTGGAATATCAGACGTCTTTAAAATTGTAACTGGCAGATATAAATTTTAATTGAAATCGATTTCATCAAATTTTATATTTAGGAATTCTTACGACATTACCAAAAGTTATTTATGTTTTTTTAGCGTCGAAAAATGCATTTTCATTTAAAATTTTGAAATATAAAATTCGTTGCGATTACAATACCTTCCTTATTGTATTGGATGTTGTTGGTAATGAGAGAAAATTTAATCTTAAAAAATTAAAATTCTTCATCAAAGAAAAAAGTAAAATAACAAGTAAAAAATATTTTTTAATTGTATTTTGAATTTTGCTCTAGCACCAGACAACGCAATTAAAATTTTATGTACCACAACAATGCGATGCTATCAGATTTGTTATTATCTGTTCATAATATGAAAGGTGAAAGAATTTAAGCTAATTACAGGTGGACTTTTAAAGTATTAAGGAATGTAATTATGGAATTTAACTAAATAGGGAAATAGGACAATTTACTGTAATTTTATTACATAAAAATAAATTTTACTTTAACATTTTTGCATAATTAATTTTTTTAATTTCAAAATTACATTGACACTCTAGACATAACAAACAATGATAAAGTAAAAAAACGATAATGAAATTTAATATTTATAGGGTTTTCGGAAGTAGGTGTTCGAAAGATTTTTTCTATAAAATAATATTTTAGTTATTAATTTAAAATAATTGAAATGCACTAAAATTAGACGGTTTCATTGTAGTAACATGAAAAATGTGAAAATAAATTCTAGACTTATTGATACTTGAATTTAGTAATATGACCAAGGCTAACACAGAGGCTAACACAGAGTTGACACAGTAAACTTTATCCGTTCTCGTTTTTCTTAATTTGTAAGCTATTATAAAACATACTGACGGACAGTGTTAATATAACTATTCATATTTTTTTTCGTAATTTTGTTTAAAATGTACTAGGAGACAATAACGAAAAAGAAATGAAAGAAAAATTATAATTTGTTTTTTATTTTCGATTTTTGGAACAAAATTTGCATAATTTTAGTGATATTTAACTAGACCCACATACCTGCCTATTACGTGGTTCTTACTTTTATAACTAAAAAATATTCCATTTAAGTTCTTTTAAGCTTTTTTAAGATACAAAGACTCAAACTAATATAAACTATTTTTTAATCTAAAACTATTTTTGTAAATCAACTGTTGGTTTAGAATATTAAAATATTGTGCTAATTATTGTCAAAACGGAATTTGAATGAAAAATTATTGTTGTTATGTACAGTACTTGCGGTAATTAGGATAAAGTTATAAAAAAAATTCAGTAGAATCGCCACAGTAGGAAAAAATTTTCTATTTCTTTTTTAAAAAAATTTTCTATTTCTATTTTATCAGAATTTTTAAAAATTTTTGTGACATCAAATTCTGAGTCAAAATTTCATTAGATTTTCTTTAGTTATTTACCAATTATTAGTAAATTTATTGGTATAAATAACTAGTGAAAAGTTGAAAATATAAGTGTGGAGTATTGATCCATAAGAGAAGGGAAAGTTTGGGAGGGTTCTGGCTGGTGGGTTGTGAGAAGTCTCCCGAAAAAGTTACTCGGACTCATATAAGAAGTGTGGGTCTCAGGGGGGTGTTCTGGGCGGTCGTGGAGGGGAGTCAAAATAGATCTTTTAGGTTACTAATTATTGGTGCATTATTTACTTAAAATATTTATTTTTTTCAAACCTTATTTTTTCTTAAATAGCAAATTTTGCTCACAAGTGAAATCTTTATTATGTACAATTTTTAATCATTTATTTTCATTGTTTCCTTTTTAATTGGCTTGTAACATACAAAATAATTTCATTTTTTTCCACTGACTCTGTTCAATCAGTGTAAGCGGAAAAAATCATTCATTTCTTGTATGATTTAAAAAAAAAAATGTAAAATATTGCAAATTCATTGCTAAAGATTAACAAATTTTTTTGTGTCACACAATGTAAAAGAAAAGTTTAAAATAAATAAACAACGTAAAAATGTCATACAGGTGAGTGCATTTTAATTATGTACTTCAGTAAGAATAATAAATTTATAACATCAAACGATTTTCATAGAAAATATGAAAAGATTTAAATTTCTGTGTTATATGATAAATCGTTAGTTGATTAACTTATAAACTTATTTAATTTGGTAGTTACGCTTTAAGATTTTAGGGTAAAATGAAAGTTATGAGTCATAATTAAATTGCTATATAATTATGAAAATAATAAATGAATTTGAAAATATTGAAAATGCTCTGAGATGTAGATGTAGAGTAAATAAAATCTCATAATTATTGCCATTATCCGAGATTTCAATAATAATAGCCAAAATTCGAATTGGCATTAAGAACTATGGCAATAATGAAAAATTTTAACTTGCTTTATGTACAAGATGTTATTTTATTTGAAATTTCAATGTCACCATTAATAATTATTATAATTTATTTTAAGATTGCAAATTTATAGATTTGAGATTTACAATATTATAAATACTTAAAGGCTAAAATGTTTAATTTGTTATGTAACACAATAAAACTTGAACTATATGTTCTTATAAATATAAAATAGTAAATTGTGAAATTGATTTTAATAATTACTATTGGACTCCCTTTTGAACTGCGTTTTCTGACGCTGTTGTCGGTGCTTTATGTACTTTGAGTTTGAGGCGAATGATTGTTTTACTTAAAACACATTTCGCTTACAGAATTTTTTTTATAAAATTAAAAATTTATCATTGATCAAAGCTGTAGATGCCCTATTTAATTGATGAACTAAATCAAGTTCTTTTTGAACATTAATAATAAGTGAAATGCAATTATATTGTACAAAATAATAAAAGAGCGTTATTGTAACAACAATATAAATGTTTATCATAAATTTCTAATGGATGACATTTAATTTTCTACACAATAGGTGCATAATGCACGCATTTTGATTTTATAAATATTGCAATTGTTTGGAAAATTTAAAATGAGTTTTATTTGGCAGGTTTTCATCAGATTAAATTTTTTTTTGTTTGGTATTTTGTAGGGCATGACAAATTTAACATATTTCATTTAGACTATCTATATCTGCTTGTCACTTTTATTTAATTGCTGTAAAAGTTGTAATTTTAAATTAAAGAATTGTTGAACTATTTTCACATTATTGATCTTACAGTGATTGAATTGGTTAATGTTATAGATTTTTTAAGTAAGAAAAAAATGTGAATTATTCAAAACAACCATTTAGATGAAAAATAGTGCCTTACTAGTTTTTAAGAGAAAATAAATACAATCAAATACGAATTTAATAATATTTACCTGCTTAATTCAGCTGATATAAAATTACTTTGAGGTGAATAACGACCTGGATTCTTATACATGCTGCAAACTAAACGTTCTTTACAATAATCTGTATCAAAATTAGGCCCCAATTGTTTAAATATTCTATCCATTCGGTCTAAAATTGGTGAATAAAATGGATCGTATCCCTTTGGCATTATTGGCTGCATCATTATAATTTATGTAATATTATGATATAAATTTGCGTCAATATGAAAAAAAGAACAATATAAATTGGATATTTAATTTCATTTTAATATTTTATAAAAATACAAAAGGAAATTCTCACCTGTCCATCTTGAACAAACGGTTCTTCAGAGAGTATTTTTTGTTGCTGAGCTATAATTCTTTGTTCATTTTGTATTCTTAATGCTTCTTTTACTTTAGCCTGAGCGCGATGCACCTGTATAAAATATGGAATTAAAAATTGAGTTATTAAAATGCTTAAGTAAAAACAAAATTTAAATTTATAATGGTTTGATTTTTAACAATTGCATGATTTTATCTTAAAGCTCGTTGAAGTTTTGCAGGAATATTGACATAGCAGGAAATATGTCTTTGGGTTAACGTTCGGTTAGAATAGAGCTTCATTTAGGCTGTCATATCGGAAATAACAGAAGATTAAAAAAAATGCTGCTTAATCAATCTCTGCGATTACCTGTTGCAATTTTGCGTGATGGCAGACCACTTTTTTAGTTAATTCGAACATAACTATGACCAGAAGAAGTTGAAATATTTCGAAAATAAATTCTATAAAAATTAAATATTTGAGTGTATTATGACTACTAGTATTCATAAAATATAGCTAACGTTTTGACAGTTTTTAAATTGACACATTTTGAAGTATTTTAAGATGGTAACACTTTTCATGTACAAAATATTAATAAATCGTAAACGCTATTCTGTAATTAGCATTTTATAGATTTAGGCAAATCACAAAACGAAACTTGTTGTACAGAATAATCATATTTGTCTTTTTTTTTAAATGTCATAATTTGCTACTTAAGATGTCATTATTTAAAATGAATTACAACTTTTTTCCGCTTCAATTCGTATTACCTGTAATCTATGTCATATGACTTTTTTCTTTTACAACAGATCTATTAATCACCATTTAAGGAATTCATAAAACACACATTAAAAATTTAGTAAACCTATTTGTTTGTTTGTTTATACTCTTGCATTAGATAATAGACCCTATATATAGAGAAAGTATGTCAATTTACTATATTACTAACTAAATCAGAAAAACAAAAAATAAAATTAAGAAAAAAGTGTGAACGTTTTGAATACGATAAAAAATGAAAACTTGTTACTTTTCATTTTTCGATATTATGAAGATCAGCATGTAAAATTAAAAAAAATATATAGGACATGCAGCAAAACTAATTACCTTCACATTTTACAATATGATTGAACTTAATTAGGTTTTTTAACTATAATGCGCGTAGGAAAGTGAATGAAATGGGAAAAATAAATATAAAAGTAATCTAATTACAATAATTATGGCGATAACTTATAAATTTAAACTAAATTGGAATATTATTTTGTATGTTGGTGTGATTGTAATCGATTTCGATTTCTCCCAGTAAGAAAAAAAGATTATTTTATCATTATAAGATGACTTCTTAATTACATTCTAAAGATTGAAGCTAGAGAAAAGTGAGGATCATAGAAAAATGAATTTTCTTTGGCTTTGAATTCTTATACCGGTATGGACGTATATTCGAAGGGAATATAATAAATGTAATATTTTTCGCTCGTAACGCTTAAAAATAACGGTATAAAGACGATATTTATTTATAATATTCTTCCTTAAGTCGATTTTTTCATATCTGTTCGTTCATTCTAGCGATCACTTACAAACCAAATGAATTAAGTTTACCAAATTTTCACAAATGGTTTGTGATTTTGAACTTCATAAGTGAATATAATCGAGGCAATATAGCTGTCAGACAACTGCAAATTACAATAATTATTTGATTATATTTTAGAAAATATCGAAATAACAATACTTAAATTTTATATTAATTAATATAGTATAATAGGGCCATTATATTGGGATAAAAGAGTTGAGATTGCATTAGCTGTTGTGGTAGCTGCCATACAAGTGTGAAAGTAACTTAACCGCATTTCAAATAGATTATATTTGGTTTGTGCTATTAAAATTTCTTATAAGTGGATACTATGTATATAAAAATATTAGATGGTATGAAGCAGCTTGCCTATTATCTTATTGTAACTCTTAGAATCATTCAGTCGTACGGCGCAGACTTGACACGGTCAAATATATTTATTCACGTTATCATTTCATTTTTAAAGAATAATCCAAGGATATTAATGAGATTTCTTGATCTAGCTAATAATCTAGCTACAAATATTTACATGCAACTTAATTTGAACTCGAATGTCCAAACAACGTTTTGATTTACACAAAAATATTCAGAATGGCATAGAATTGATTTTTGACGTTCACTATTTCACGCATTACTTTTCTGTTATAGCGGTTTAATCTTCATTACTTGCAAGTTATTAGAAAATTAAAAATTAAAATCGAAATCTATGTAAAAGAAAAATTTAAATTTTCGAATAAATTGTGCATAGATATAAATAGTAGATTTGCTAAAATTGCAATAAATCTTAAACGTATTTATGTAAATATTGATTGTTAAATTCAGAATAAAAAATTGTTTTTCCTTTACAAAGAAAAGTACAAGTGACTTTGAAATTTATTTAATTTTTTTTTTATAAATTGTGTCAAAAAACATTTTCAATTAGAAAAAAATTCTATAGGAATTTGACATTGTTTTGAACTAAATGCTCTATATAAGTATGTATGTATATGTAGTAAAAATTTCCGTATAAAAATTATATGTGGCTATAAGGGATTTGATTGCCCACTACTATGCAAATGTCACTGATTTTAATTTGTAGAAATCAATATTAAATTAAAAATCAAACTTGGGTCCTTTGGTATTTTAAATTAATTAAAACGGAATATACGTGCAATACATACATACATGCATACAATGTGGTTACCGATAAACTATCTTACGTTTCTGTCAATCTGTGCATTTCATTTACAAAGTTCATTGTTACAAAGTTCATGTTTTTTGCTTTACTTGATGGAGATTAAAATGAAAATTTTGCGAATGCTTTTATTTGATGACTCCAATAACATTTCTTGCTTTTTTTCGCTGGTATTTTCGAGGTTCCATAAATAAATTTTGTATTTTACCCTTTGCTTTATTTTTTTTAGTTATTTGATTTGTTAGAATGAAAAAATAAATCATTCTTGCTTTTTCAATAAAATTTCAGTGTGGAATAGATTTTTAAATTCAATTTTTCTACATTTCAAAATGATTTTTAGATTTACACAATTCAATGTCGAATTTTATTTTATTTATCTGTCTTGTAATAATTTTTTTATTGATTTCATGAATGCTAAGAAATTTATTTTTTATATTTAATTATAATTTGAGTGAACACTAGATGTGTTTTTTAATGTAGTATTAAAATAATAATAGTGTATGACAACAAATTTAGAATAAGTTTCCAAAATTTTAAGGAAAATTTGATTTTCCAGAATTTGGTTAGTTTTGAAATTAACTTGGTTTACAGTTGAGTTTTCAGAAATTATTAAATTTGCTATATATTATAAGTAAATATAATATAAAGTAATATTGCATAATTTTAGGGAAAGTAATAAAATTTCAAACTTTGTGTAGTAATTCTGAGTTAAGATTTATTAACGCGAGAAAAATAATGAATAAAACAATGTAAGTTAAGTTTCATAGCAATACCGAAAGCCTTAAAATAATTGATTAAAATATTTGTGTATAGGGTATTCGAGAATCAGTGATTCTCCCGAAGTACTATAACACTATTAGAATAGACGAACTAGAAATAACGAATGACATTTTTCGTTTTGCATCCTCGAGTTATGAGATCTCAGAGTTGGTTTTTCAGAAAATCGTCTGGATGTTACATTTTGATTTATATAATTTGAGAAATGTGATAGACAAAGTCAACTTTGTTTAGTTGCTTTAGACTTTATGAAATTCAACTTCTACGAGCAAAAAACATTGTTCGCTTGGATGCAGGACAACAGACTGCTGCGGTGGTACCAAAGTCTCAGACATGCTGCACAACAAATTCATGAATATCATTTTTGAATTGACGATGAAAGTTTTGGTTATTGTACGGACAGGTTGCTTATTGTAGTTTTTAAAAAAAGTAAAAACTTTTTTCTTAATGAATATTTTTTTTTAAAAAGCTTGCAATAGAATTAGAAAATAAGGCCAAACTACTGAAATACCTTTTGATAAGTATGTGATAAGATGTAACAAATTAGTAAATTTATGCAAGCGGTGCGTGTATTTGAGTAGTGTATTTAATAACGCATTCAAAAAGAAATTTTAAAATTTGCACAGCTTTTGAAATATAGGATTTTAGAGTACACTTCTTTTTTTTAAGTATAAACTTGACGTATAAATGGAAATTTAATTGAAATTTTAAAGTTTATTTAAAAATTTTTTGATTACTAATTAGCTTGCTTTTATTCAATAACAATTACGTATTTTTACAAAGAGTTAATTTAATTGTTTTTCTATAAATAAATTTTATTGCTTTTCTCAAATGAGATGTGCTATACAGCCAATTAAAAATTAATGTATGCAGCATTTAATTTTCAAATTATTGTATGTATGACGGAAATCACTAAATTTTGAATGGAAAAGTTTTAATTTCTATATCATGAATTCGGGATTATTTCGATTTTTCCTCATTTTCTTGTTTTTACTTAATCGCAAATTTGCAAAATTTCGTTAAATTAGTTTTTTCGTGGCAAAATCTTTAATCAGAATCAAAAAACAATTTCAGAAATATACGAGTATTACCTTGAATTTATTTATTTTTAGGTTTTCGGCGTATTTTTCAAAATGTTTATACCCATACAAATTTAGTAATACATCATCGTGCCTTGAAAAAACGTAAGCGGATTTCTTTGAAGTTTTTACAACAAGTACATAACATAATCCTTATCCAATTTAAATTGTTTGTTTATCAAGTTGTTATTCAACTCGCATGTAGTGTACATATGTATAGTATATTAAAATTTAATTTTCATGTTTTTCATTTTTTTAATTTAGTGACATTTTATATAAATTTAACTTAAAATTTTCGTGGGTAATCAATCAATTTCATAAATACATAGTAAGAAAAAAACACATCAATCAAGAACTCGAAAATTTTTTTTTTCTTAGAAGATATTTCTAACATTAATAAAAATTATGTATAATATACAACGTATAACATATAACATATACATCGATTCTAATAGAGAAGGTTGATATTATTTAAAGGCCTATTCACAGGTTTGTGTAACGCATAAATTACGCAATG